CCTCTTAGACCAGCAAAATGATGTCATCAGACAATTCCTGGCTAAGGTATGTCACTGCAAAGAGCCCCCTGGAATTCGTGACAAATGTACTGGGAATGGCACATCCCGTTCGAAATGCTTATCGTGATGGTTCGTTTCTGATTCACCTTTGCATCTAAGACGCACTTGTTCGTGCAAGAGCAACAGAAGAATGTGAATTTTGCTTTTCTCTGTTCTACTCGAATGTGGTTTTATTCTGCAAGAATGTCATGTTAGAGTCTAGGTAAATATGTCAACATTTTCAGTGCGAAACATCTCTTGCTTTCTCCGTGCATCTTCAATTTAATAATCAAAACTTTTTTCTCAAAGGTGCTGTTTCATTCATGAAAATATACATACATGCATGCAACTTTCATTCTCGAGACGCATAACAGAAAATTTCCGTGAAAAATCCCGTTTTTTTCTCGCTCCTTCCTCGTAGACATATTCTATCCACAAAAGCCGCCTGATATACCCCGAGGGCAGAAGATTCGAGAACATTCCAGCATATGCAAATGCAAAGCCCCGCCCATCATTCCTTTGAAAATTTTGATAGTTTTAGAAAGTGTTGCAAGACTTTCTTTCCAACCCAATAAGAAAACACCTTTAAAAAAGTCATTTTCAGGTGGATCATCGAACTTCAAAAGGGAACGGTTGGAGCGAACAAAGCGCAACTCCGCAAAAATATGGACTAGGATTGCCTCGAAGAACGGGGGCGTGCTTTTGTGGATAGAATATGTCTACGAGGTAGGAGCGAGAAAAAAACGGGATTTTTCACGGAAATTTTCTGTTATGCGAATCGAGAATGAAAGTTGCATGCATGTATGTATATTTTCATGAATGAAACAGCACCTTTGAGAAAAAAGTTTTGATTATTAAATTGAAGATGCACGGAGAAAGCAAGAGATGTTTCGCACTGAAAATGTTGACATATTTACCTAGACTCTAACATGACATTCTTGCAGAATAAAACCACATTCGAGTAGAACAGAGAAAAGCAAAATTCACATTCTTCTGTTGCTCTTGCACGAACAAGTGCGTCTTAGATGCAAAGGTGAATCAGAAACGAACCATCACGATAAGCATTTCGAACGGGATGTGCCATTCCCAGTACATTTGTCACGAATTCCAGGGGGCTCTTTGCAGTGACATACCTTAGCCAGGAATTGTCTGATGACATCATTTTGCTGGTCTAAGAGGTCTGAAGTGATTCCCTGAAAATCAGCATGTCGAGAGATGAAATGGTATGTGCAGTTGAGCGTCTCCCATCTCAGCCGTTTTGCATCTTCCCTTGAGAGAATCTTCTCCAACTGATCCAGTAATAAATCTGCATTCTCATCTAACAATACACTTATTAGACTACGTAGAGTCATAGGATCCATGTTGATCGTTTTCAGGCGTCCTGACCTGAAAGAGGAGTTAGGGTTACCATGTCTGTAAAAGTGCGTGTACCATGTGCTCACTTCAATATGGTGCATGTATTACTACTGAGAAACGTTAGATAATTTCAGTGACACACAGCATACAACGGAAAATACGAAGGCTATTTGATCAATACTAATTTACTTAAATAAGCTTAGAACAATCTGAATCCAGCGGTTTGTAACATAGTTCCCTTGGACTTACACGTACATGTGCAGTGGTCGTCAAAATTAACGTACTACGTGTAGGGTTAAAAAAAAATATGGAACCTTAGAGGCTCAAAGGTTTTGCATTGGACAGCTGCCCGTGAGTGCTGATCCACCTAAAAAAAGGGGTCGACTCTAGTTTGTTGCATCCCAGTTACGCAGTTGTTCATTTCGGCTTGAGGAAAAATGCCCCCTTCAGTGAAGGATCGCTACGAGATTGATTTCTTGCCGCTCGTCCCATGGGTCCGAAGCTCTCTTCTGCCGCCATCGTGAAGTATAAAAGGATCTCAAAGCTAGCGAAGGCCGGTTGGCTTAAAAGATATCGAGAGACGGAAATGGTGGAGGGAAAAGCGTGATGGCTCGAACTAGCACTCAGGTAAGATGCGTGTTTGGCGCTGCTTCTTTGCTGGAGGGTTTAGGAAGATCTCCACCTTCACCCAGAACCTGGATGCCCATCTGCTGAATACCATTTATGAACGTGGTCTCTTGCTTCTGCAGCTACCACGTTTCCTGATTCAAGGAAGTCCTGGGTGCTGCAGGAGGACAATGATCCTCCTCAAAGCAGCCGACAAACCGGAGGGTCGAGAATGTGGTGCCCCGTTTGGAATTTCCGTTGCAGTCTCTTGCCGTCAACCCTACATGAAATGTGTGGGCACGCGTGAATGCCGAAGTAGCGTATTGGCACACCGGAACAATCCATAGTTTACGAGCAGTAATCAAGGAGGCGTGGAGGAGTCGGAGCCAAGAGTTAGCAAAAAGTTGGTGGACTCCATTCAAGGTCGATTACGTGCTGTAGTCGAAGCGAAAGTCAATTTTACCCTGTATTGAGATCAGGGTTCAATGTGTGCTTCCTGATGAAATAAAAAGTTATCTGATGTTTCTCGTTGAATAAGAGAGAACCCCGGTACGTTAATTTTGACGCGCACTGTACTTCTTCCATATCGGCGGTGCAAAGCCATTATCCCATTCCCGTGGAACAATATTTCCTCCTTATTGCACCAGTCACTCAGAACATCCACATCCTGTCCGTCATTAGAAAAAATATTTACACGAAGGTGAAGGCGACGGTGCAATACACCATTCCTACTCTTATCATGGGAAGACAGATGTCTTTGATGGCAACTTCATCTTATTTGTCGATTGAGGATAGTTTCTTTTTTTTCCCCCAATGTGCTACCAAAGGGTCTGGTGAAGGGGCATTAAAGTTGAGACGAATGCTTTGAGGAATTTCCTAACCTCTACTGAGCCGTCCTAACAGCAGATCTTCCAGAGACTGAGATGATCGACTTCTAATGACCCTCTAAAATGTCCTCATAGCATTCGTCTCAATTTTAATACATTTCGGATACTCGAAACCGCGGTTTAAGAGAGATTACTGTACCTCTTCTACACTGGCGCACCAAATGATTGTTGCCGCAAATGATTGTCGTACCCTGTGCGAATAAATCAAAAATATCAACCGGTTTTCACTCGAGAGGCGTATGTGGACAGATTATGAAGTCGAGGTCAACGAAAGACATTGGAAGTACGTAGTTCAAAACTTCAGAGAAGATCCAACTTTTGCCTGTCGCTACTAGAAAGAAGCAAATCAAACTAATCGCTATGTCATAACGAGATTCACAAGTCACGGACACCACAATGCAATATGTTACCTCAAATAATTCCAGTTTTATGCTGTTTTGCAAGAAAGGGAAAAGTAGGCGTACTTTTATGAAAAAACATGCCTGTCAGCCGTGTGGTTGATGGACTGCCTGACTTTAAATGGATGTCTCTGTTGATTTTATTTACTTCTTAAAAATAAAAAAATTACATTGATAATCAGGCGGTAAACAGGCACTGCATCCTTGTCAAAAACATCATACAAATTATTCATGTTAACTGCAGTATGATATTTGACGTTATAATAAAACTATCGAGACAGGGGGTGATGTCACTTGACAGAAATACCAATTTACCCCAAGGGGGCGAGATCCCAAAAGAGATCTCAGGACACCTTCTGGCACAGCACCTTGCATTTATGGATCAATAGGCTTTGGTGCGCCTGTCAGCTTTCTTCAAACCCTTACTGCGACGAAATTAAAACATCTCGTATTCCTCTCTAAGAGTAACATGAACGAATTCAGTATACTTCTTCTTTCACCACAGAATCGCTGCAGCAAATTTGAAGCTCCATCTCTCAGGGATTGTGGAGATCATTGAATATCGCTTTTTGGAGATGTGAATTTCATTCAGTTTTTTTTTTGTTCTCCCCCCCCTCCCTTGGGTAACCTTTCCTGGGAAGTTTTTGGAGGGAAGAGACCAACCAAACTATAGATATTGACTCAGGTGAAGAAAAATGTCATATTTGTTGCCTTCAGTGAACCATTTCGCCAAAAAATGAAATTACATGCCGGTAATTTAAGCTAACCGTGATAGCTCCAAGGTACCATCCTCCAAGGTTGCCAAATATCGCGCCTTAGTTATGCCAGATTCATGACTTCTTCGGTCTTAATATCAGTGTTTGGATCTTCTGCATTTTAATGTAAGATATAATTTTTTGTCGAGCTCTTTTGATGAACTGAGATTGAAATGTTGGTTAGCAGTGGACGAGGTTGAGGGGTTGGGGTTGGGGTTGAAGAAAGGAAAAGCCTTAAACATGTTTTTCGCATTACTACATCTCACCATCATCATAAGCCACTCATTTTACCAAAAAAGTATGAGTCGCTGGAAAATGGGTTTATGAGATGAAAAGAACATTACCGTCCCCGCTTCGTAGAAAGATGCCACGGGGCCTGAGATATTGCATCAAGTCTCGTATGAAGCCACCTCCAGGAGGTAACTCCACTCTAATTACATAATAAAAATTGATTGAGGTTACGCTTGAATTTACCTTGCAGTCTCCTCATATTCATTCTAGCTTCATTTTCAGATGTACCGAAGCCAACTTCGTTGTTAGGCGAAAATGAGTTGATAAGGATGATATGATACCACTTATTGACTCAGTCCTTCCCCCTAGCATCATATAACATTGATCCAATGCTGTTTCAATGTCATGTGCTACAAGAACCTCTTCTTTTGTTGCATCGTGTCGGCGTTTTGGTATCTTGAGCGATTGGCTTCTTCTCTGGTTATTTATTAATTATTCATATACTCTCTTTTTTTAAAAGCAATCTGACCATCCCATTGAATTCATGAATTTATTCTGCCTCTCTTGACAGACTCAAGAGGCGAGTGAGAGCTTTCCTCACGCGTCGTTTCGTTCGTGTGAGATCCCATTCAAAAATAAACTTTAATTCCAAGACATTTCCTTCGCCTATGTTTATACGAAGTCTGATCAAAAAGTTCTAAGACATAATATTTTATAACGCTGTGGTGACTTTTTCCGACTGCTGTTGGTTATATCCTTTAAACTAGTCCTCTTCGGGATATACACAGATTTTCCGGCGTTTCTTCAGCCGCTGGAAGCATTGCTGACACTCATCTTTTGGAGTCACCAACAGCGCTCGCGGCGCGTTCGTAATGTTGTTTTAAATGTTCTGATATTTCCATTCTTTTGCAATTTCAGCAGTTTCTGACCTACCCCGCAATCTCGTGCTTCATCAACCATCCAACTCGTCGGGGTTTAGCTCCTAATAATTTATTTTTGTTCCCTAAACTAAAGAATGTGCTGAAATGAAGTAGATTTTAGGAATTCAAAGCAAAATTGTAAACGCGCTGCAAGTGATTCCAAAAGATGAATGTTACCAATGCTTCCAGCGGCTGAAGAAACACCAGAAAATTTGTGTAGATGCCGAGGAGGACTAGTTTAAAGGATATAACCATCAGCAGTCGGGAAGAGCCACGACAACGTCATAAAAATTACGTCCTAGAAATTTATTATCACACCTCGTATTTCTCTCTTTCACAATAGTCGGCCTATCATTCACTGATGTGTAACGTTTCTTTTACCCATGGTCACGAGGTTGGGTACACTTCTTTAAGGTGCCATTTTCTTTCCCTTGTTATTCAGGTCCATACATACTTTTTTCTAGGTTCTCCCCCATTACTACCTATGACTTTTCGAAACTTGTCAAACGTCCGTTTATTCTCCATCTTGTCCAGTAATTCAATCTGTCGCATTATATGTTGAATAATATACTGTACCTGGTTTGTACCCTGGCTTAAATTAGTACTGGACCCTTGATATGGCTCAATTTCTCCTGTTGCCGTCAGCTCTCTTAGTTAATGCCACTTTGGAGTGTCAAACGAGTCTCGTACAGTATTTATTAGCTGGACTGAATATTTGACCGAGGTATGTTCCAGTTCCTTATATGTATTCCGCACCATGGGTACCGGTGTGCTATCCTTAACCTCTGCATAGGACATCTGAAATTCATCACAAAAGATTCTGGAGGCATAGTGCCCAAGATTTCCAGCACCGCCTCAAACGTACCCATAATCTAAGTGAAATTACATAGCGAAGTTTCTCACCTTTGACAAAGTAGTTGATTATATTTCATGAGTGTCCAATGAAGGCGTAAACAGTGACCCATTCCTCTGCCAAAATGCTATGTGAAAAGAGTGCAAACAGCAAAAGAAAGCCCATACTCAACAAGTTAGACGCCAGCTCAAAATGGCACTTTTACATGGCTCTTGATGCCTCCATTGAGTTGTCCGGTGCTGTCCAAACAATGAAACAAAAGCACTGATCTTGTGGCAAGGCCGAAAGTTTTGAAACATTCTTAGAAATATTGCACAAAAATAAACTCACTGTTTTGTTTGTATTCAGAGAATGAGCTCATTTGCATTCTTGCAATTGACAATGCCTTTGCGTTGGACATCTCCAGACAGTGATGTATTCATCATCTGCTCTCATGTGGATGTATGGAGTTCCTGTGATCGAAGAGAAGTCGTCCTCTATCCCTTCGCTTGTGAGACAGTTCCAGAGCCCCTGCTCTAGATCATTCTTCCCCATTTCTTCCACAATGCACTTGGACAAGGCGAACCCGCTTTTATGCTGCTTCATGGCCTGCGAAACTACCGTGATG